AATTCTAAAGTAAAAAAAAAAATATGTATGAAATTATGAAACTATAGTTTAAAATATTTAGATTACAGAGATAGAGCAAATTGTTTTATGATCAATCCTAACTAATATGATCATCAAGCATAATATGTATATCAAACAAGGATGAGAACAGATTAGATTAAAAAACATTAATAATGTAATGAATATATTTTTAATTAATATATTGAAACAATGTTTCACCTTAACATAATAGATCAAAACCAAAATTTCCCCGAAAAGTAATAATATATATCGGCATAGGGACTGGTACTAGCATTGGGAAGCAGATAAGGCAATGTCTGCCCTGCCCCAATATTTAACAGTCATTTACATAAAAATAAAATATCTTAAGAATAGGCACCTATGTATACCAGCTATCATGTTGAAAACTACATTAAATGAAATAATATGAAAATACTGATCTTCTCTACTGGCAAATGATTTACAATTTATTTCTTCTTCCCTACTCTTTTTGGCTATAGAAGTTTAAGTCTGAGTAAAAGTAAAAGTCCCAATATAGTATAGAATCAACAAAGAATACATTGACAAACAACATAATTTTTTCACTATCTTCTTTTCAACAAATTATAATTTATGTAAATTATCTACACCAATCGCAACTCTCCAGATACAAGCAGAAATAGAATCACTTCAAACAAGAAGAGAAGTGGCAGCTATTAGTCTTACAAAAAAAAATGAAAAGACTTTGTTTGAAGCACTGGGCTGCTCAAGAAACATCTGTCCAGTGCCTCAAGACACCAAAACCAGTAACAGTAAAAGTTAGAGAATTGTTGGAAAGAAAAGACTTAGATCTAGGGATGAGTCTGCCATTTAATAAATGTAATGACCAGCAAAAATTTATCGCAGAGGCACAGCTAGAACTAACACAACCTGTAAGTAAAAACCTAACACCTGAATAGGAATTGAAAGCGCTTGCTATGGAAACAATAAATAGCCGCTATTCCGAGCGGAATTGGCTCCATGTATACACTGATGGCTTCACTTAAACAGCTACACGGAATGCAGGCGCAGGAGTATACTGCCAAGATTTTATGTTATCCATCCCTGCTGGTAGCCAGGGGACAAATTTCGATAGAGAAGTGAAAGCCATTTCAGCAGCATTGGCTGCAATAGTGAAAGAACTCAGCTATCCCCAAGTTGTGATCTTTGTCGATTCACAAGCAGCCATACTGTCGATCTGCAATGGCCTGGACCATCCTGATGTCACAAGTGCTAGAGATTGGATTAGTAATTTAATTAAAAAAGGAATCCGAGTGACTTTCTAATGTGTTCCAAGCCATTGCGGTCTACCAGGAAACAAAAAAGCTGATGAGCTCGCACAGATCGCCTGGAAAATGCCACAAACTAAGCCTCTGCTTCTTTACAAATCTGTTAAAAGGATTAAAATCCTTTTACAAGGAAGAGAATAAGAATTGGCAAAAGTAACAGTCAGCAGGGAAAAATGGGAATCTTTAAAAGAGGAGCCGATGAAACAAACAAAAAATAGGAAAGAATCGGTTGGGAATTTCCGCATGACGACAGGACACAATTACCTGCAAAGGTATTTAGATAGGACCGAAGTGATGGAAAGCCCTATGCGCCCTCTTTGCCAAGAAGGACGAGATGTACGACCTGCACCTCTCAGTTTGCCCCGCTCTGTCAGATGTTAGTAATTTGATGGGATCTTCCCTGATGGGATATTCAAGCAATGGAAATATGGGGGAATAATATTGGGCTGTCAGGAGCTGAATGGCTTAATAACAAACGGCAGAGGCGATAAACAAAAAACAAAATTTATGAACAATGTTTTTTAAAAAGACATTTTTAAAAAATAAAAGTGTGTACAGTTATTCTAATCATTTATATATTTGGCCCACAATTATGAATAAGAATATATTCATGACCATAATTTTTAATATAAATATAGTTGTATTTGCAATGGTGAATACAAACTCCTCTGAACCTCTTTATATGAATATGCTAATAAATAAAACCACAATTTAACAACCATGAGCTCAGCATAATTCATATTCATTATTGAGATAAAAAATTTGCCGATCTCAGATTATAACATAACTGAGACATGGAATTCTGGAACCAGCCAACTCAATTTTAATTTTTACTGTCAGTTCGAGCACTAGATTATTGTGAGGTAAAACAACTTCTTCCCAAAACAGTTAAATCAAATGTTATTAACTGTTTTGTTTTCTTCTTTCAGTGAATTCTTTTATATTATGGCAGGCAATAAAGTACCAAAACTGTAAATTAAAAAAAAATATATAGATAAATTTACAACTATATTAACTTGAATAAAAACTTCCCATTTGAAACACTCCAATTAACCTTTTATATAAGAGGCACTTCGTACAGTGGGAGAGGTAGGAGCTTCTCAGGTGCTTTCTGAGATCAAAATAGCACCTGTTGGCTTTGATGAGTCGCTGACTAGTTTTTATGGAGATCCTTTTTCCACAACTCACCATTGACCCCAGGTACACAAACTGGTGGACGTTCTGGAACATGAATTGGCCCATTATGATGGGCTGTTGGTCCACCCTTGGCCCAGCTCTCATATACTTTGTCTTCTCCTGGTTTACACACATCCTCATATCCTCTGCAGCCTTTTATTTAGGGCATCATTCAAAACTTTTTTATTTTGCTTCTTTTTTTTTAACTGACTTTTATACAATTGATAGAAATGCCACGTAGTTTGAAAATGGAATTCATTTCTGTCATTTAAAGAAAAAGAGCCTGACATGATCTTAAGTCATATACGAGTCCACCATCAACAGGGCATGAGTCTACTGTCGTTAAAGGTTAAAAAAAAACTGAAAATCGAGTTGGCTGGATTTGAAATTCCAAGTTTCAATTCTTTATTTAATTATAAAAGACATTAATGCTTAATGATACTTACTTAAATTTTTTAGCTAATGATTCACTATACTCTTCCATTATTACACCCTGTAGAACTAACACAGGTAAACAGCATAAACTGAAACATTTTTTAAAATAGTAAACTTAAGAAATTATAAGATTAGTAATAATGATAAGAACTGTGATGTGGGTATTTAAAAAATTATTTAACATAATTGTAAAGATTCTTTTCAGTACCAGGATATTAACCCAAGTTATTTTGGGGTCATGAAGAGAAACAACCTAGTAAATGCCTAATTAATCTATCTGGATACGACTCCTAATATGATCTAACAAAACATTGTACACCCCACCCCAATGATAAATCAACCACAAGTATAAGTAGACAACACCAGAAAAGTCTTGCACTAACTAACCCAAAACACTATCTTATTTCTCCACTACCCCTCTAAAATATCCTTACCACCCTTCACACTTAACATTTTTCTTTCACCAAAATAAACACTCTCCTTATTTCTCCTACCACAATACCTATACATTAATAATACCCCTATTACAAACATACACATAACAAATACTACTACAAAATAATCACTTCCCCACCTTAAATAAACTTTTTACTAATCCCCTCATATTACTCCCAAACATAAATCAAATTAATAAGTTACAATTAATAAATTTCAATTATACCACCAAGATATACAAACACTCACCCCTCCAAACCATCCCCCGTAATATAATAATCACATAGTATCAAGATTACTCATATTTTAATATCGACATCTTACACCATCATAACCAACAACCCTCCAACTTACATAATAAACTATAATCTCCATAAAACTGTCAAAACAATCCAATCCAACACATATACTTTCTCACTACTTTCCACTAAAACATCAACACTTTCATATCAACTCATTAAATAACAAAGATCATACCAACAATAACAACATTATTACATCACCCCCAATATCCACCACATCACCACAAATCAAACAATACATTCCAAAACAAATCACACTACCTCCCATATCCATCCAATAATCTATAAAATACACTCCACCTAATAAAAAAAACTACCACATACTCCCAATATAAACTCCCTAAAATACCACACAACTATTAAATTTAATAATTAAACTTTGACACACCCAAACCAACACTATACCCAACACCACACACATAAAAAACCCACACCAACCTATCACTCCATTCCACCCAAACAATAATACCACCCATCTCCCCCCACCCCAAAAATACATACAACATTCCACCTTATTATAATAATAAATCCAAATATACAAAACAATAACTAAACACCTACATACCACTCCTTTATATTTCTATCTGTATTATCCCCCAAAATTTAATCCTTCTTATATCACCAAAAACAACCATACCAACTATTCACTCACACATACCTTTGTTTCAATTTTTATTAGGTTTCCCACTTAGTACCCTAATGAATTTCCAACCTATTAAAAGAATAAAACTATCTTAATACCACCACTAAACAAACAACAAACCCCCACCCATCCCCTCTCCAAAACTCATTAAACAACCAAGTCCACATACATAAACAAACTATATTACAATCCAAAAAACCCATACTAACAAAAAATACACCAACACATTCAATAACACCCAACCAAACAAAACAACCATTCCAACCTACTTCATCACTTAACAATCCCCCAACCCCCCAACACAACATAACCAACACCCAAAAAAACTCTCACCCCTAACCCTCAATAATTTCAACCTCAAACAAAAAATTTTAACAAAATATCAACATACACAAAAAAATTTAAAATACAATTTTCATAAACATAATCATCATAAACAACACTCACTACCTACACCCTACACCATTAACACCTACACCACAAACAAAAACAACATATCCCTTCAATATACTCATTCAACCCATCACCACCAAAAAAAATCTTCCTAACTCTCTCATAATTATCTAATAACCCCTATTAAAAAAACTCATCCTACTCACCAACCTAATACATATCAAACACCACCCACACATTATCAAAACTCTATCTTCTCAAAACCAACAATCCTATCATACAAAAAACCATTACCCTTACACTTACCTTCTATATTATTAATATCATAAACGTATCACATATCACATCCTCACAACCCATCCATTTTACTCTACCTCATAAAAAAACACATACCCCAACTGTCAGCTTTATTTAACTACCTCTCTTATCCAAATTCTCTACACCTATAAGTTACTCCCTAAAATCTAATTTCTACAAAATAAAAACATTGTAGCCCAATATCTAACTTTAAAACATACTGAACCAACCTATAACCCAATACATTTTAAATAACCATAATCCAACTACATACATTAAATAATAAACACCAATCTAAATAACATCACAAACCTATACACCACGACACCACAAAATTCAATCTTCCCACCAACACCTCTAAATACTAACTTCTAACATTCACTTACCCCAAAAACCCATAAACCCCCTTACCCCCTATCCACAAAACCAAACCTAACCAATAAACTACACACCAACCACAAATACCTCCAAAAAATTCCATATCCCCAATAAAACTAACCATATAACTTCCATAACAATATACTACATACCTATCCCATCAAAACAACAAACAAAAAAATACCTAACAAAAAACATATAGTCTCTCAAACAACTTACTACATCAATAATAAAAATTATATTAACCATAATTTACACTACCATCAAAAACAACAAAAACCCCATACCACAACTAAAATTTCACCACCCAAACCCCCCACTCCCCCCACCCTATAAATAATTACCACAATTATACACTAAATTTCTATATCCCAAACACACAAAAACAACCCCACCATCACATACCCACCACAACAAAACTACTTTAAAACTTAAAAACCCTACCAAATATACATCCCATCCTAAATATATACACATAAATATAGACAACCCCTTCAAAAAATTCAACAAACAAAATCACCTTCACATTCATTACACAAAATCTATACATATATTTGATACATAATCACTAAAAACCACCCATATAAAATTTACCTTACACCAAAAAAACCTGAGTAAAAAAAAATTTTTCCTTCCTCATACACTCAAAAAATCTAAACTACTGCATCAATCTATTTTTATCTTTGGATATTTTACAAAAAAATTCCTCTTACAAGTCCAATCAAATAATCAATACAATCAATCAAAATTAACAAAATCGTAACCTATAAAACAACTATCATCCTAATACCACCCACAACCCCACCACATCATATACCATACAAATTACCTTATCCCAAAACACACCCATACCCCCCCCCACACCAACACCACACCAAACCCACACACCACCAATACCCTAAAACACACACAAATACCACAACCAAAAACTACCCACCAAAAAACCCATTCACCCCATAATTAATATACCAAACACCCACCTGCCAAAACATACCACACTACACACACACACTCACCTAAAACCACACCAACACAACCAACCCTATCCAACCAACCTCACAAACCCCTCATCATAATCAGTGTGAATACCCCTAACAATCCAACTCACAAAAACACCCATCAACCACACCAACCCACTCACTAAAAAAAAAACACCCAAACAAAAACTCCAACAACCCAATCCACCCCATAAACCACACACCTAATACACCATTACTACATCACAACCTCATTCCCAACTTACTTCCCATCCCACCAAAACTCAACTCATCCATCAACATATACACCTAACCCCACGCCAAAAAACACCAATAAACTCCCCCAAACAAACACTAACCCCCCCCCATCAAACCACATAACCTTCCATCTCCCCCTCCCACCATCCACCCACCCACCCAACCATGTCCCTACCTAATACCATAATCTCTCCCACAAAACAACTAAACCAACAATTCAATCCCCCCCCTCTTAAACACAACTCTACTCAAAACTAAAACCTCACTCCATCAAATCAACACATCACCCAAATTCCCATCCCCACAATATCATACCAACACTACAACACACACAAAAAAAAATTCAACCCAAATCACATCAACATAACCAACCACCCCCACACACAAAACCCCTACACCCAACCTCACCCCCACCCAAACCCCCCCACCCCAACCCAGACCTATACCACACAACCTAACAACCACTCCCCAGTCTCCACCACAAAATATACAACAACCACACCCCCACCCCAACCCCCTCCCCCCCAAAACACCCAATCAGACCCACCACACTATAATCTTCCATCCAATCCATGTAACATACACCCCCATACCATCCAACCACCACCTCCCCACCAACCATCACCACCACCCCAAATCAAACTTCATCAACATCAACACACCCAAAACCCTCCCCCATTCTCCACCACACCCCAAAATCCTCCAAAAATCAACCAACATAAACAAAATCTACCCACTCTCCCCCGACACACCCCAACCCCCCCCAAAACTGTCCCACACTCCACAACACACCAACCTATTATAAATTCTACAACCCCATACCTCAATCCTATCAAAATTTCCCAACTGCCCCACCCTCTCACCAAATCCCTCTATTAAACCACAACCAATCCCACCCACCCTCCACCTCCACGTTACCCCAAATCCGTCCACTATCACCCACATAACCCCTAATCACTAACACCGCAGTGTCCCCCACCCTCAACCCCAATATCCAAAACAAAAAACAACCCACCAACCCCATACATCACACAACAATTGATAAAAACCTAAGCCCATCATCACCCAAACACACAACATCACCAACCCACTACAAACCACAACTACCTACCCCCATCCCCCTATACCACAACCCCCACATAACATATCACACCCATCACCCACCCTATCCAACCAACTACAACAACCCACTCTCTAACCCCCTTTCCCCCATCCTCATAAACTCCCAACACACCCACAACTAAACTATATAACAAATATCTAATAAAACCTGCTTATACCTAATTTCTCAAACACCCACCATTACCTATCAACTGACAAAACCCCACACAACAAATCCTAAAAAACTCTCCTAATAAAAACACCC